CCCGTGCGCCCACCAATTTCTGGCACTTCCCCTTCAGGCGCCTTCGCAGCCGCCCAGGACCGTCCCTCCCTCCCAGCAGCCCTGCTTGGGCGCCTCTTTCAGCACTGAACATGGGACAGAGAAGCCACACAGAAACACGGGCAAGGCGCAAAAATCCTTTCCTCCCTCCCGCGTCCAACCCTTTTTTTAACTCTAGGGAGCCCTTCTGGGATGGCACAGTAGGGGGTCTACTCTGGCCTCCAACCTTCCTCTCCCCCCCCCAGGAGCCGCTGGTAAGCCGCTCCGGCCCCCAGGACTCGGCCGCTGGCAAGCCACAGCAGGCCCTCCTCTCCCAATCCGGAGTCCCCTCCCCACCATGGTTTTTGGTTTTTAAGCCCACCCTTTGGGAAGCTCCAGAGGCCGGATGGGCCTTGGGAGACACCTCCGCCTCCCTGATGGGGCTACCCCTTCCAAACCTCCAGCCTCATTTCAGTCCATTCCGAGCTTCCCCCTCTGCCTTTCCAACAGCCCCGATCCCTCGCACGTTTACTCGCAAGTAAGCCTTCCTCTATGTGGGCGTGCGGGCGTGTCCTCTTCCCTCCCTCTCGGCGCCTCTTCCCCGGAAGAGAGCGGTAAACAACCCGTGTCTCAGCATTCAAAGCGGGGGCCGGTCTCCATTCATAGAATGAACACCGCAGATCAAAACAATAAACCTGCACACACAAGCATGGGAAACGGGGCGCTTCTCTCACCCGCTTGAAAAGTGCATCCAATTTTAGCACTGGGGGGAGGTTCTTTCTCGAAACGGGGGTGGGAGTGAGGGTGGGTGCAATAGCCTGGGTGTCAGCCAGAGCGAGGAGACGCGGGACCGTAGGGGGACAGAGGCTGGCCGGGGTGTGGAGGGAGGAGGCAGCGTGCTTTCCTGCAGCCGATGTATGCCGCGCTAGGCAAAGCGAGCCAGCAGGAAGGGGCTCCCAGAATACCATGCTGGGGGCTGGTGGGCAGCGGCAGCAGGGGCCTCGTGCCCCTTGGAGATCTGCGCCCGCCATCACACTAGTTGGCCTAGTGGAAGAGCCAGCCCTGGATATGAAGCACCTCACCACTCTGTCTCCTAGTGGCAACATTCTCTTAGGGCCAAATTTGATGATACCACATCCCCAGCAGTTTTGGGGCCCCACAGCAGTTTTAAAAGGGAAGAAAAAATCTGAAATGGTGACACATCCCCATGGTGGACTCACAGTCTCAATATCTTCTAGTTTGGCTCTTAGTTATCTCCCCACATTTTCCTGGTAGCTTTCTTTTGGTTCATAGCTGGACAGTCCTACAGCCACAGAACTAAGAGAGAATGACATTCTTATATTTTTGTTTCTTTTCTTGCATTCATAATCATTTAGTATAACAAGTAAAGGATTAGGATAATTAACTTTATAAACTTGTCGACAAGTTCATTGTAAATAAACTATTGACTTCTTTAAAATTTCTCCAATAGATGCCAATGCCTCTGTCTTGAGTATCAAGAATGAAAATGAAAATAGTTTTGTTGTTCAGCAGCTTCACTTATTCAGTGGCCTCGCTCACTGGGTATGGTTGGGTCTAATTTATGATAAGAATGGTAAGTTGTAAGTTATTTTATATCTGTTATTATGTGCTTGTCCGTCTTAAACATATCAAGACTAAATTGCAATGAAAGTATTTCCAGCCAACTTCCATTTGAAGAGAGAAATGATTACATTCGGTTTAGCTAAAATAAATACATAAATATAAATAAAAATGGATTTTTAAAACAAAGTTAGCAGGATAAAGGCTATACACTCACTGAAGTGCTCTGGGAAACTTCCCTTTCTTCAAGGCTATCTGAATTGTAGCCTGTCATGGCTCAGGTGGGGTGTCACCTGATGCTGCCACCACTCTGGTTCCAGGCTCCCTTGAGAAGGCCCAGAGTACCCTCCCAAGACCTTTAGACCTCCCTTTTGGCCGAATAATAGCTGTGAGGACCAGGCAGAGTGAACAATGGAAATAGTTTATTTTATAGGCGGTCAAACAACAAGGTGCAGAATAAGAACAGTAAGTGGGTGAAAAGAAAAGAAATCAAATGCCCTAACGCGTCTAAATATATACTGTCCCAAGCTCACTATTCCAAGTGACACTAGACTACTCACCCTTCCCTCAGGATGAGGGTTTCTTCCTGCAGCAGCCTTCCTTCTGACTCTGCCCTCTGGAAGAAAGAACAGCTTCTGCTCTGGCACCAGCCCTTTTGTTCCCCAGCCCTCTTCTTCCCTATTGGTCAATTTTGGCTCCAAAACCTCTCGGGCTTCTGGGAGTTGTAGGCCCAGCCTCACCTACTGCTAGCCAGGCTCCCTGGGCCTAGTAGGCCTCTGGTGGCACAGCCTAGATCATGACATAGCCAAAATAGTTCAAAGTGACAGGACCCTGATTTCTGCTGGGCTTGAGTTCAGCAGATGGGACATTCCACATTGCTTTGACATAAATGAAGTTTTACTTTCTTTAGTTTCTAACAAACTGACATGGTGGAATGATTCCATTTTTGTTTATTATATTTCTGACCTGCCTTCATCCATCAAGGACTCAAGGGTGGGTTACAATAACAAATTGAAAACCAAAATAAATGCAATTAAAAAACAAGATAAAACCTTAAACATGTATGTCAACATCCTACCTTCATAAAAATGCCCCTTTAAATAAATAAGAGATTCTGGAACAGCATTATCAGAGATACGTTCCTGACATCAGCAAGTAGGTTATTCCATCAAGTCAAAATCTAGCCAACCCACTACGGGATGCCAGCCTCCAGGCGGGACCTAGGGATCCCCCGGACTTACAGCTCATCTGCAGACTACAGAGATCAGTTCCTCCGGAGAAAATGGATGCTTTGGAGGGTGGAGTATACCCCATTGAGTTCCCTGTACTCCCCAGCTTGACCCCCAAATCTCCAGGAGTTTCCCAACCTGTAGCTGGCTACCCTCACGCCCCTCATCTCCCGCCAGCAGCCAGGGTGGACCTGGCAATCCTACAACCCACTGTACAATATTTATCCTTTAGAGCAGCACTTTTTTTGTTGTTCAGTCGCACAGAGCCATGAAATTAAAAGACGCCTGCTCCTTGGGAGGAAAGCGATGGCGAACCTAAACAGCACGCTAAAAAGTAGAGACATCACCCTGCCAACAAAAGTCTGCATGGTCAAAGCAATGGTATTCCCAGTAGTCATGTATGGCTGCGAGAATTGGACTATAAGGAAGGCCGAGCGCCGAAGAATAGATTCTTTTGAACTATGGTGCTGGAGAAGACTCTTGAGAGTCCCTTGGACTGCAAGAAGATCAAATCAGTCAATCCTAAAAGAAATCAACCCTGACTGTTCCCTGGAAGGCCAGATAATGAAACTGAAGCTCAAATACTTTGGCCACCAAATGAGAAGGGAGCACTCCCTGGAGAAGACCCTGATGCTGGGAAAGATTGAAGGTCAAAGAAGACGGGGACGGCAAAGGATGAGATGGTTAGACAGTGTCATCGATGCAACGAGTTCATTTATTTCACAGCGTATCTTTTTTACTTTTCACACATCAGATTATTATATTTTTTAAAAAATTTTATTAAATATAAAAAACAGTTAAAAATAGAAAAGCATAAAAATAGAGCTCCTGGCCCTAGTCCCAGCTCCCGCCCACCCAGCGGTTCAAAAGCATTAAATGGCAAGTAGATAAACTGGGTACCTTCCCCTAGGTGGCGGGGGGCACCCTCCTCCTCGGGAGGTCGAGGCAGCGGCAATGGCGGCAGAGCAGTTCCTGGTGTTTCAGCGGAGCGTCGTCGGAGGCTGGAGAGCTTGGAGAGTGACGTCGGAGGCAGAGGCTTGGAGAACAACGTCAGAGGCGGAGCCCGGAGAGGCGGAGGCCTGGAGAGCGCGGCGCAGCAGGAGCCGTCAAGGACACCTGCCGGAGGAAGCTGCCCAGAAGACCTGCTCCAGAAGGGCACCAGAAGAACGCCGACATCCAGAGCCGCGGGTGGAAGCCGGAAGCTGGATACCAACAAGCCCGGGGTGCTGGTAGGCACTACCCCATTGACAATGTGGCTCTAGTTAGATGAACTGGAATTTGGAACTATATGTAAACCGCTCAGAGACCTGCAAAAAGGTTAGAGCGGTATATAAATGGAATGTATAAATAAATGGTGTTTATGCAGGGCAAACAGGGAGGTGTCGATTTTATGTGCTGCTGAGGCTTCCAAGAGGGGCATCCATTTTTCTTGAAGATTGTCAGGAACACACATCAGATTATTCATTACATTGGGACAAAGGGAGTTTTCCCAAACGCAGGTGTTTTTTTCAGAAGACCTTCCAAATTTTCTTTTGCTGCAGGATGACTTAGTCGCTATTTTTTTAAAGCTAAGTATGTGATACAAAGGGTGCTATGTGCAATTCTAGCAGGAGAACTCTTCCTGGAACAGCAACAGAAGCTGCGAATTTCAGCTTAAACTGCTGTAGATAAAATGCTTCCTGCTGTGAAGTTTGCACTAATTTATCCATTACACAGAAATTCCAAATTTTATAGTTAAGACTTTTCCTTGAATTCTGTGATAATTAGAATAAAGGGGGGGGGTGTAGTGTCCGCGGACCGCCACCGGAGGTCAGCGCATATGCCCTAGCTTCAGTCCGAACAACAATGGGGACTAGGATCCTAGTCCCTCCTCTGGGGAACCAATGGGATCCGTGGCGGGAGATTTGAACCCATCAATGGTGACCAGGGGCGGTCCCCAGGTGTGTATATAGTTGGCCTGCCGGCCGGTTACCATCTGTCTCGTTGTGTGCTAATAAAGCGTGCTATGCACCACATCGTTGTTTGTCGTTCATCCATGCGGCTACCCACTACATAACAGGGGGATCCTTTCACAATAAATGGTCCTTTCCGTACTAGACCTTAAATCCCAGTTCACCCCTGTTCCCGAACTTACATTCTACACTAAACATGAGTTTGCCCATATAATTATCTCGGGGTATTTTTACATTCTACACTACACTCAAGTTCACCCCTATAATTATTTTGGGGTATTTTTTGTTTCCACATTACATTGAGATCACCCCGGTTTTGCCCCACACTTGTCCCCGGGATAAATGGATGCTGTCCAAGGTGAACTCTGATAAAACCAGGGATGAGATCCAAGTAAGGAAAGGACCAATGCATCCAAACTGCATTCATAGCATCCAAACAGCATCAAAACTGCATTCATAGCACATTATCTACCATTTCTGACACTGCCAGTTACCTGTTAAACTGGCAGAAGTGAAAAATTCACTAATCTTGAGATAGGATTCCCCTTATTTATCTTCTGTCTTGGTAATCAGTACTGTCAAAGTTGACAGCATTGATCAGTGGGCCCGGGATAAATGGATGCTGTCCAAGGTGAACTCTGATAAAACCAGGGATGAGATCCAAGTAAGGAAAGGACCAATGCATCCAAACTGCATTCATAGCATCCAAACAGCATCAAAACTGCATTCATAGCACATTATCTACCATTTCTGACACTGCCAGTTACCTGTTAAACTGTCAGAAGTGAAAAATTCACTAATCTTGAGATAGGATTCCCCTTATTTATCTTCTGTCTTGGTAATCAGTACTGTCAAAGTTGACAGCATTGATCAGTGGGTTAGGAAGAGAGCTAGGCCTTTATCCAACAACATAGTCTTAAGGACACTTCAGTTAAACAATGTTCTGTTTGCTCAGGCTTTTCATGAAAATCATGCTATTCTGTGTGGTGTTGAGTTTCATCTGGTTGTTGTATTTATGATTATATTATTTTACATGAAGAACTGAGCTCCATTTTGGGATCCATCCTTGAAAAGCTATTTAGAATAAATAAATGTAATCATAACCCATGGTTTGCTGCTCATGAATGAGTCTGGGAAACCCTCCTGCTTATGTAATCTGCTCCCTCACCCTTCTCACCTGGTATACAGCCAGATAATCAGATATATTTGGGTTTGTAGCAAGCCCATATTTTGCTGTTATATCCAGACCTGCAAGCTGTACTGTGCATTTTCCCTGCAAATTAGATTAAAACACTATTTGGAATCTTTGTTTGCAGAGAAGGTGCACGCCATAGTTTGACAGTTGGTATGTAATGGCAAACCATGGTTTGCTGAAAAAGCAGAAATTTCTAATTTTCTGGTTCCTTACAATCTTTTTCAAAGTTTAATCTGACTAATTTAAAATTCTTATATAAATTGATTATGAGTGTGTATATACATGTGTAGGTATGTATATATGTGTGTGTATTGATTTTAATAGTTGATTTTGATATTTTGTTTCAAAAATAACAAGCCTGCTTCAAAAAAATTACCACATCCAAATTGCAGGCAACATGAACACCCAGTGGAATTAATGGGTAATAAACTCTGGATTAACAAAAGGAACTCTTTCTTTACTCAACCAGAAATTAAATTGTGGAATTCACTGCCAGTAGACATAATGACAGCCATGCACATAAGATGGCGTTAAAAGGGACTTAGACAGTCCATCAATGGCTACTAACCAAGATGACTAAAGAGAACCTCCATATTTAAAGGCTGTAAACCTCTGTATATCAGTGCTAGAAGGCAGCATCAAGGGAAAGCCTTGACAGCAATTCTGTGTTGTGGGCCATCCAGGGCAAGGGATTGGCTGCTGTGTGAAACAGAATGCTGGACTTGATGGACCACTGATCAGATACACCAGGACTCTTCTTACCAGTGTGATGGAGAAGTTCAAGTATCAGACTGGGATCTGGGAGACTGAGGTTGGAATCCCCATTCTGTCATGGAACCTTGCTGAGCCCAGTCAAACACTTTCAGCTGAGCCTACCTCTCAGATTGTTGTGAGGATAAAATGAAGGTGAGGGGAACAATGTAAGCTGCTTTGGGTCGCCATTGAGCTGAAAGGTGGGGTATAAATGAAGTTATTGAATGAACATCCCTCCTCTTCTTAAACTTAGAAATCTGTTCATGCTAGGTGGGTATATGTTATCTGCAGTGCTGTAATTTTAAAAACAAATCTCCATACGGAATCTTTTCATGTATTTTCCATAGATACGCTTCTAAAGTGGTATGATGAATCATACCCGTCTTTCAATAAGTGGAGTGAAGGAAGACCTTACATAAGGAATAATAATTTTGTTGCCGGTGTTAACTTGGATGGCTTATGGGATATTTACAATTACACTGACAAGTTGATACCCATACGATTTCATCACTACAGTGTCCTTGCCTGTAAAATAGAAATGGGTAAGTGGTACATCAATTTTGGATTGCATTTCAGAACACCTACTGACATACCATGAGGCCAATTGTGATCATTCTTTCAAGCTGTGGATTTCGGAGGGCCGCAACCCCCCTGCCCATCCATGCCACCCTCCCAACCAGTGTTCCCTCTAAGCTGAGTTACTGTGAGCTAGCTCACAGTTTTTTAGCCTCTGGCTCACACATTTTTGTCTTAGCTCAGGAAGGATGGCTCCAGAGCAGACTAATTTATGCAGTAGCCAAATCGCTCACTCACGCCAGTAGCTCACAAAGTAGAATTTTTTGCTCACAAAACTCCACAGCTTAGAGGTAGCAGTGCTCCCAACCACCCATCTCCTCTGCTTCCTTCATCTCCCAGGGGCTAGAGATGCTAGTCCTCCTTGCTCCCTCTTTCTTGGCCCTCAAAAACAGAGTGACAAGCCACACAAGTCCTGTAGGGTTTTCCTCTCATGAGAACTTGGCCCTCACTTTGGCTACCAGCACAACCAAAATGGCAGCCAATCTTGCAAGAAGGAGGACATTTTTAGAGGTTTGGAAGACAGAGAAGGTAAGGAGGATTAGCTGTCCCAGTTCCTCAACCAAGGTCCAACGTAGGAGACAAACTGGCCTCAAGCAACAAAACATACTGAGCGAGAGCTGGGGAGACGTAACATTTGTCATATTTTTAATATTGAAATAGGGCCCAAAGAGAACAAGTCACCACTGCCTAAAAAGCAACAATATGGAAACAACACATACTGGATTCTTCAAAAGAAGCTCAATTGGTACGAAGCATGGAAAGAATGCAAGCAAAATGGAAGTGATTTAGCTAGTATACACAGTGAATCGCAAGAGTTGTTTCTAGAAGACATTGTAAAGCATGATGGATTTTCACTGTGGCTTGGTTTATCCAGTCATGATGTAAGTTTGACCTGTGCTAATAGATGGAGGGTGGGAAATTTGCTATATGTGAAGGCTAAGCTCCATGTTACATTTTTGGGAGAGGTTCCTGGGACCTGACAAAGGAGTTGCAGAGGAAAGCATTTTTAAAGTCTACAGATTATTAAACATTCCCAGCTAAAACCAAACATAAATTAGGTAAAGGTAAAGGTTTCCCTTGCTCGAAAGCCAGTCAAATCCGTTTCCGAGCCGAAGAGCCAGCGCTGTCCAAAGACGTTTCCGTGGTCATGTGGCCGATATGACTAAACACCAAGGCGCACGGAACGCTGTTACCTTCCCACCAAAGTGGTCCCTATTTCTCTACTTGCAGTGTCTTGCTTTCGAACTGCTAGGTTGGCAGAAGCTGGAACCAGAGACGTTGGGTTGAGGTTCCTGGGACCTGACAAAGGAGCTGCAGAGAAAAGCATTTTTAAAGACTACAGATTATTAAACATTCACAGCTAAAACCAAAGATAAATTAGCAAACCCCAAATCCCTCCCTTGTCCCCCCCATTAAAAGATGCTTGCCATTTAAACCTCCTCAAAAGCCCTAGCAAACACCAAGTATTGTGCTAAATATGAGCTGATAAGCTTCCAGGTGTCCAGAGTAAATGCTCGTTAGTATCTCCTGATATCTCTCAGCTCTTGAGGTAAGTAGCCAGTTGTTGTTAAAATCAGCATCTTCAGAAGGCCACTCTAATTTATTCAGTTCAGTACAGCTAAAGATAAAATAGACCTAAATAGGACCTAAATAACAAAAATAAAACAGGGTTTGGGAGCAAGATGAGCAAACGCTACTAGTTCGACGCCATCTTGCCAGTACACAAACCCTGGCAAACAGGCAGGCATTGCAGTTCCTCCTGAACATCTCCAGGAAGGGGGGCCCCCTCACCTCTTCAGGGAGCCCATTCCACAGAGCTGGAGCCACAATGGAAAACCAGAAGCCCAGTTCTGCTTAGAATTGTGGAGTCAGGTGAGGAGAGTGACCTGCCTTCCCTTGCTGGTGTTTTCCAGAGCCTAAATGGCCCCAGCAAGGAGTTATTTGCATAATTTTTGAAGCTGTGCATGGAGTATTCTGAGCAGGGCCGGCTCTTCCACTAGGCCAACTAGTGTGACGGCCTAGGACGCAGAATTGAGCCCTGGTGGACTTTTTAACAGTGACTTTTCGCCATAGCTGCTGTGTGACTGCAGAGAAAACATGTTGGATTCAGGAAATGTCAACCCAGCTTGGCAAAAAATGTAACTTGTAGATTAGTCCTAAGGTAGAAAACAACTCAATTTTGGTTGGTTCCCCCCCCCCCTTTACCCTTCTGTTTCATTCTCACATCACATAGTGTGGTTATGACTGCGGTTTATGCATGTTTACTTGGAAGTCCCTGCATGATCAATGGAATTTAATAACAGTGCCTAGGACTGCAGTCTGAATCAATATCCCCTCACTATCACCACTACAACCCAGCCTGTCTAAAATAGGAAGGAGAATGGAACATGCAAATGAGGAGAACTAAAGACTGCCCTCTCACACAGCTTGCTTTGCTACATTTCAGTGCTTGAGACACGGAGGCAGGCAAAGGCAAACCACCTCTGAATGTCTCTTGCCTTGAAAACCCTACAGGTTGCCATAAGTCAGCTGTGACGTGATGCCACAACAACAGAAAAACACTTCTTTACCCAGCCTAGCTCTGATACCAGATGACAGCTGGGCTGGGACGAAAATGTTGGAAGGAATGGCACCAAGGCAACATGCTAGCTCTTCTCAAGCGTGTTCTTTATTTTTATTTAAACATAGTCTGCCACTCCTGTTTTCCTTCTCTGTTGTGGATATCTGCCTTTTTCCCTACCAACGCTTGGGGTGGAGGGGGGGATTTCAGTATAGGAAATGTTCCAGGCCAATAAATAAAAATCAAGCACAGAAAAAAACAATTAAAATGCAAAACAAACAACAGGCAAAAACTAGAAGCAGAGGAACTCAGAACTAGAAGAACTCACTAACCCCCCCTCAGAAGAAACCCCCCCAACAAGGCAAGCCAAATGGAAAAGCACACAGTAAAAAAAAAAATTAAATTGTGCAAAAAGAGAAACTAGAAGAACCCTCCCCCCAAATAAAACCCAGAAAGAGGCCCGAGGCCCTAGAGGCCTACTCACACCACCCCCTCACCAACCACAGGCCCCAAACCACCAAAACAAAAATAATTCTTTTAAAAAGTGCCCTAATAAAGTAAACCAGGCTGATGTCTGCTCTCCATCCAAGGAGGTCCACGCAGGAGGGAGGAAAGCAGGCAGGCTGAAGGAACAGGGCAGGGGCAGCAGCAGAAGTCAGCAAGCCACACACAATCTCCTCCAAGCCAAGCCAGGCATCTCTCTCTCATCACCAGCAATAGGAACACAGCACATAGGATCCAGGAACAGCACAGCAGCAATGGCATCAACCACCAGAGACTGTCCCCTTTTATGTTCTCTGAGCACACACAGACGGATTTCAAAAAGAAACACCTTCTGTGATTGGCAGAGAGCAGATGCCAAAACCCTATTGGCGACCAGTGTTCCTTCCCTGGGAAAGGAGCAAGCTAGTGGACTGGCAGCAGTAACAACAGCCTTGCAAAAAGTTGCAAACTGCAATACATTTGCAGATGCATTGCAGTGATTGGCTGTCTGAAGTTCCCTCTTTCCCCCTCCCTCCAGGAAACAGGAGCAAGAGACGGGAAAGAAGGGGAAATGGCGGGAAAACGGGGTTTCCTGGTCCCTTTAACTGTTAAAACACCCCCTAGTGGCCATTTTTGGCATTGCCGAAAAATTCCAAACCACCCCCACCCCCGATTTTTTCAGGATTTTTTCCCGAATCTCAGAACAGGCTCAGGGAAGCCTGTTCAGCATCCAGAAAGCCGAAAAATCCCGTTTTTTCCGGGATTTTTTTGGCTCGGAATTCTCGAATGCACACCCCTACTGGGGACCAGTCTCCCTAATTTTGTTTGGGTTTTAATACATTATCCCTAGACTGTAGTCTACTTTGTACCGAACGCTGAATCTGAAAGTGAATCTGACTGTAACAAGCCTTGCAGGTAACAAGCCCTACAATACTAGCCATGCTGCCTGTTTATCCTAGTGCTTCTTAAAAGTAAGAGTGACATCAACTCCCATTCAGACTGAATTTTACTACCTCTTTTTCAGATAAATGAGTCTGATTTTGAATGGTCTGATGGAAGCTCATTTGATTACAAACCCAGCCAATACGAGACCTCACAGTTTCTTGGAAACTGTGTTTTTTTGAACATTTATGGGTTTTGGAGTCATATGAAGTGTACAGATGTTCTTGAAGGAGCTATTTGCTACTCCCCATCAAAAGGTAAGTCTGCATTCAGTTCTGGGGTTTTTTCGTATCTTGATAGTCACAAGTTAAGGTCAAAATCAAACGTAATGTCACTTAAAGCACCCTTTTCCTCTCCGTGTGTTGGTAGGGTTGCTTGGTTTCTTGTAGACAGATTGGTGCTTTCCCACATGATAAATAATGCAGTTTCAATCCACTTCAGTAACTGTTTGCAAGTGGATTTTGCCATTTCACACAGTAAAATCCAGCTGCAAAGGGCGTTGAAAGTGGATTGAAAGTGAGTCATTTAGTGTGTGTGAAAGATGAGAGGTATGGGAGTACAATAGCGATGGGTATAGAATAGCACATGCATCAGGTATCCCTTCTTACTTGGTGTTCAGTAAGTGTACACATTTAGAAATAGATTGTGTAATCAATTCATATGGCTGGATCCAGCAATCTGCTCCTAACAGGGATCTTGGACCTTTGCAAACCTCCCCGCCCCCAGCAGCCATTTCCAGAATGAGGAAGATTGATTCCCAGGGTTATGGGACTTCCATTGACAGGAAAGGCAAGAAGGACAATTCCACCCCTTCTCCCTCCTTGTTAGTGGTAGGAAGTGCTGTCAAGTCCAGGCCAACTTATGGCAACCTTGTAGGGTTTTCAAGGCAGGAGATGAACAGAGGTGTTTTGACATTGCCTGCCTCTGCACAGCAACCCTTGACTTCCTTGGTGGTCTCCCATCCAAGTACTAATTAGGGCTGACTATACTTAGCTTCCAAAATCTGATGACTGGGCTAACCTGGGTCATCCAGGTCAAGGTTTCCCTACTCATTGCAACCCACCAATTCACGCAGCTACTGTTTCACTCAGGGCTGATGACCTTGAAAATTACTTTTTCCGGGGTCAGAAATGGCTGCTGGGGAAGAGGCGAAAGGGGCAAAGATTTCTGATGGATTGTTAGATCCCACCCAGTATTTACACATTTCTTGTAGGCAGTTGCACTAGAATGCAGCTTTCTATTATTATGTGGCCTGCTACTTGCCTGGACTCTTTTAGTACAAGGATCAATAAATCATGAGTTCGGCCACCAGTACCAAAAAGTGGAACAGAGTGCCTTGTGCTCACTCGCATAGATGGCTGCACACTGCGTTGTTTTCAGTAGTTTATGTCAAGAGCTTACCTCAGTTGTAAGGGTTTATGGCCAATAGGGATGTATTGCTACATCCTGTTGAGTTAGGGAGACGTGTTTTCCCTGTACTGCAGCACTGGGGGAGAGGGGGATGGAAAACATTCTTATGTTCCCATGGATATTTGAGTGCTTTACGCAGCCACATGTTTCCCTTTGTGTGGTGGGGGGGGGGTGTAACTGGGGATGGAAGATAAACCACCAGTACTGATGGCTGCAGAAATGTCTACATAGCTTTGTGTATGTAAATGCTTCCAATTTGAAGAAGATGATGATACTGGATTTATACCCCACCCTTCACTCCAAATCTCAGAGCGGCTTACAATCTCCTTCCCTTCCTCTCCCCACAACAGACACCCTGTGAGGTAGGTGGGGCTGAGAGATCTCTTTGAGAACTCTCAAGAGAACAGCTCTGAGAGAACTGTGGCTTGCCCAAGGTCACCCAGCAGCTGCATGTGGAGGAGTGGGGAATCAAACCCAGTTCTCCAAGATTAGAGTCCGCACTCCTAACCACTACACCAAACTGGATCTCACTACACCAAACTGATAAAGAGCACATCAGGATTTCCTATGATGCAATCAAATGATGTCTCAGAGGACTTGATTGTAGCGGATCACAATTTTTGTCTTTATTTTAAACCTTGAACAGTAATCCTTAACCAATTTACTGGTGACAAAGAAGTCTCATGCATGATGGTGTAGACCATAATAGTATTTGTATTTCATACAGAAATACAGTCGAAGCAAATTGAAGATTTCTCAACTTGTCCAAAAACTACTAGTGGATCATCACAGTGGATACTATATAATGATTATTGTTATGCATTTGATGTAAAATTTTACAATTTTTCAATATACACTGCTGAAGAGGCTGAAAAAGTCTGCCGGAAGCTTGGTATGTTTCAATTCTGTTACCTTATTTGTTATAGAACATCCATCATTTCCTTTAGAATGTTTGCTCTGATGTATCCTTTTGCTTTTGAACTGTCTCTTGTGATAACCACGCCTTTCGATGATGACCATAAGGATGTGTGATCAGATAGTAGCTAATCAAAAACCAAGCCAAATACACCCTTATTCATTAATATAGTTATACAGAATTTTACTTACAAAAGTAACAGCCTTAAAATTAATGATTTTCCCTGGTTATATCCAAAGTATTCTGGCATCTCACTGATGCAGTTAACAGATCAACAAAACAACACAAAGCAGGTGGAGAAAAGGGTTAAGAGTGAGTCAGCTGCTAAGTGACAACACACTGGCTAACCAGCAGTCTACTGATGCTGACATCAAGTGAAGGCTTGCCGACTCAGGGTCTTCCGGGGGGGGGGGGGGGGGTACCATGGAGCAACATCGTGCAGCAGCCTGTGAGAGGCCGCATCCTCCACAATGGACTGACGTCTCGGCCTTCCCCTTAGCCCTTTTGCTTGGCAGCACCAGCAAAGAAAGATGGGGGGGGATCTTTAAATGCCTCCCCTTCACTTCCCCAGTCAGCCTGCCAAAGCGCGCTGGCTGGAGAAGTGAAAAAGATCAGGGAGGAATCTTTAAATTTTCCCCCTTCGCTTCCCAGGCAGCCTGCCAAGGCACACTGGCTGGGGAAGTGAAAAAATATTTAAATATGCCTCCCTGATTTGTCTTTACTTCCCCAACTGGCCTGCCAAGAAAGCAGCAAAGAAAGATTGCCTCCCCTTTGCTTCCCCAGCCAGCACAACTTGGCAAGCTGGCTAAGGAAGTGGAGAGAAAAGGGGTTGAAAGTTTAAAACCCTTCTCACTTAGCTGGGGAAACAAAGAAAGATTGTGGAGGCATCTTTAAATGCCTCCTCTGTGCTTCCCCAGCCAGTGCGCCTTGGCAGGCTGGCTGGGGAAGTGAAGGGAAGGTGTTTAAAGATGTCTCCTCATCTTTTTTTTTTCTTCCTCAGCCAGCACGCCTTGCATGTCCGGCCGGAGAAGTGAAGGCGAGGCATTTAAAAAATGTCTCCCCCATCTTCCTTTGCTTTCCCGGCTGGCCTGCCTTGGCAGACGAGCTGGGGAAGCCAAGAAAGATCAGGAAGGCATCTTTCAATGGCCTCCTCTTCACTTCCCCAGCCAACTCACCTTGGCAAATGGGAGGGAGGGAGGGGAGGGTCAGTTTTGCTCCCCCTGGGCTTGGAAGTCAAGGGGGAGTGAAACTGACAGCTCAAATGAGTGCCGAATATTTTCAGCAATGCCGAATATTTTCTGAATCCCAGTATAATACCGATACTGGGATTCAGGAATATCAGAATTGATTGATATTTTGGCGGTTTGGCTTATCCAAACCTGGAAAATTACAATATTTTTTCCCATGTACACCCCTACTCACGAACTGCCACGAAGAACTACATGGACCTCCATGAAAAATATGTTGGTTTGTGGGAGACCTTATATCATGAACCATGGCTCACAAATCAAGCAGTGTTTGTGACAAAATCAGGTTAGTGATGAGGTATGTGCTCATCCCTAGTGGTTACGTCCAGGGTAAATTACTGTACTGGCACTGTAAGCGGGTCTGCCTTTGAAAACAGTCCAGAGAAACTTCCGTTGGTCCAAAATACGACGGACAGTTCTAGTCGGGGGCTGATTACAGGGATGATATAACCCCTGTGCTGAATGATCTGCACTGGCCGTCCATTTGTTTCCGGGCAAATTACTGGTTTTTACCTTTAGGTCCTGAAATGGCTTGAGGCCAGGTTTTCTGAACTGCCACCTACCATAATGTTAAGCCCCCCAGTTAAGATCTGCCTCCCAAGCCTTGCTCTCTGTGCATCCACTTTTAGAGATAAGATGGGTAGCAATGAGAAGGAGGGCATTTTCGGTTGTGGCACCTCACCTTTGAAATGCCCTCCCCCTTGAAGCTCACCTGGCACCTATCATAATGTATTTTAGCCGCAAAGCCAAAACATTTCTTTTTACCCCAGACTTTTAAGTTACTTTTAGAGGGTTTATCTTTTTAGCTGTTTAATGATCTGCTTGTGCCTGAAGGTCTGTTTTATGGATAATTTCATGCTGTTTTTATGTCTCTGGCTTGTTTGTAATTACTTGTTTTATTTTTATATTGATAACTTATGGTTTTGGTACAGGGTGTTTAATAAACAGTCAAGCAAGACTGTAAACGTGTGGCATAAAAATGTCCTAAATAAATAAATAAAATCTGCATGGATTCAAAATTTTAAAAATACCAGAAATGTGTGTCCATTTTAAAAGGGGGAGGGGGGGGGAGAGAGAGGAGAGAAAGAGAGGAAGGAAGGAAGGAAGGAAGGAAGGAAGGAAGGAAGGAAGGAAGGAAGGAAGAAAGAAAGAAAGAAAGAAAGAAAGAAAGAAAGAAAGAAAGAAAGAAAGAAAGAAAGAAAGAAAGAAAGAAAATATGTGTAATAACGATTTTAAAATAAAAATCTTAAAGGAAAAAAATTGAAAATAAAATTTTGGTTTACACTCCTGCCAATAAACAGATTGTTTCAGTGTATTTTAGAGTCTTTCTTAGATTACTTGCATAGATATTTTAGAAAATTTAAATATGGAATGGCTCTAAACATGTTTGTTTTGTTTTGAACTATATTCTACCATTAGACCGTTCTGCAACACTTTTGACTATAAAGGATGAAAAAGAAAATACATTTGTTACCACATACTTGAAACAACATTACTTTGTCACTAAAAGAGTATGGCTTGGAATTAATTCTAAAGGTAAGGAGTAAATAACTATCAAACTCATGTAATACTTATAATCAGTGCTGTTAAAGCAAGTTATACAATCTAGATCAGATCAAGCACATTTAAAGGAAAAGGTTTCCCTTGCTCAAGAGCTAGTAGAATCTGACTCTAGGGGGCGGTGCTCATCTCAATTTTCAAGCTAAAGAGCCAACACTGTCCGAAGACGTTTCTTTGGTCATTTGGCCAGCATGACTAAACACTGAGGTGCATGGAACGCTGTTACCTTCCCACCGAAGCGATACCTATTTATCTACTTGCAATGTCTTGCTTTCAATCTGCTAAGTTGGCAGGAGCTGGGGCCAGAGATGGGAGCTCACTCTGTCATGCAGCACTAGGGTCTCGAGCTGCCAAACCTTCCAGTCTGCAGCTCAGTGTCTTAACCTCTAAGCCACCGCAGCCCCCAAGCACATTTAGATCCATTGAAAATGAGATTTAACTATGTTCTTAATTCTGTTGCTTTCCATGAGACTGGATTTTATTGCAGCCACGGAATTTAACAGTTGTCATATTTTAATTACCACAGTTCACACTGATAATATTTGTACGTTGTCAGCAATTTAGATTATAGCGCTAACAACAGATAAGAACTAATTTCCAGTAGTCAATTTAGTTGATTCTTAGAAATCATTCCTCTTGCCTTTGAAGTCCCTAGCTATTTGCAGTTCTGGAAAGCCCATTCTCTCTCCTAGTTTTCCTTTTCGTCCCCTGTTCCTTCCTCTTACCTTCTAAAGTAATAATATGAATATGGGACACTGGGTCAGCTTATTCATTGTCAGGATCAGCTACCTTTAATGATGGAAGTTCTCCAAAGCCTCAGGTTATAGAAGCTTCCAGAGAAACTATGGCTCAATTTGCTCCAATTCTGTTGTCAAATATACCCATCCCCCTCTTTTTATTGTTTGCCGGCTCACTGACCGCTTCATAGGTGGAGATTGTCTTATTGGCACGCTGACCAGAAAGTCTGCCTACTCCTGTCCCAGGCTTTCCTTCCTTTCCCTGACCACCAGTTTTTTTCAGGTTATTGCTCCTACTGTGTACGTTCTGCTTCTACCACAGCTTTGTTAGTATTGACAATGCAGGCAGGTCCCTCAGCAGCTACTTAATATTGAAAATTAGGCAGCAGAATGATGTAGTTACAGCCAGATGCCTGCGTTTGCGTAGTCCCGATGTGTGCCTGCACAGAGGCAACTTGTTACAGGTAAGTGCAACACTGTTTCATATGAATATTCATATAACTCACACTATCCCTGGGAGTTCCCCATCCCCCAGAAACAGCTTTGGGGGGGGGGGCATTTTAGGACACAGCAAGAGAGAGAACTAGGGAAGTTGCTCCCTGCAGACTATAACCCTTCTAGCCCCAGGAATTTTAGTTGGGATTCAAGCCAATGACTGTTGGCTAAACATCTAAATCTAGAATTAACCTTTCAGGAATTGAATAAATAATACTTATTGTTTGTGTGTGTGTAATTTAAAGTAATTACAACATATTTCTTCTGATAAACAGAGAACAAAATTCTCATGGCTTTTATTTACAGCTCTGTCTTTAAGATGGCTTGATGGCTCTGACATTAAATATACCAACTGGGAAAAAGGACATGAAAATGCCAATGTCAAATGTGGTATTATGTTGTCCACAAGTGGAAAATGGACCAAAACTGACTGCTCAAAAGGCCAAGGCAGAGTTGTTTGCAAGGTTCCTCGAGGTATGTATGATTTAGCTTTAATAGATTTTGCTTCTTTCAAAATGCACCGAATAGTGATGGTATTAGGAAGGTTTGAATGAAATTTACAGATGGGGAGGGGGTGTGTGTTGTTCCATACAGGGTCTCTCTTTAATGTGTTTGTGCAGCTTCAAGTCCCAGTTGAAGTTTGGTCCCAAATGGGACTGAAAAGAGTACAGGTTGGTACTAATGCTTTTAGTCAGCTGTGTTGAGGGCCGATTACGTCAAACAGTAGCTGAGAAATTTAATAAATAACGTATTTCAGAAAAAGATCATTTCTCGTTTTTTGCTTCTCTGATGAGGGGAGCTTTGACTCGCAAAGCCTTAAACGCTGAAAAATCTTGATGGTCTCCAGGGCTATTTTTGGGCAGGAACGCACAGGAATGGAGTTCCGGCTGGCTCCTGAGTTGGCCACGCCCAGCAGGAACTCGTTAGCATAATAGGCCACACCCAACAGCAGAAACTCATTAGGATTGGCTACATTCGGGGTGTGTGGCCTAACATGCAAAGGAGTTCCTGCTACAAAAAAAGCCCTGGGTGTTGACAACAAACAAGGTAACCAGAATAACAAGCAAAAGGTGGGTGTGGCTGGATGAGCACACTTCTGGTAACATGAGGGTGTGGCCTAATATGCCAATGAGCTGTGCTGTCAGGGTGTGTGGCCTAATATGCTAATGAGTTTCTGTTGGGTGTGGCCTATTATGCTAATGAGTTCCTGCTGGGCTTTATCTACCCAAAAAGCCCTGATGGTCTGGACTCGAATCTGGCTGTTCTACTACAGACCAACAT